TGAACTTTGGGAACCCATTTCCAAAACCATTTTATTACCAACCAAATGAGTTTTTTCCATATCTTTTGATCTTGTTCTCCTTGACTCATTCTATACAACAAAAACAAATAGATAGCAATCGTTCCCTTGTATGAATTTATTTCATTCCATTATTTCAACAAGAATCCCTTTTCATACTTCCCATTTGTATAACACTTCCCTGGCATTATGTAATAGTTTGGTTTAATCTTTTTCAAGCAATTTTCATATGCTCTTTCCTTATGTTCACATTCTGTTTATTTGGATAATTAATCTTATTATACTTTTGCAGGTAGGAATCATACTTTCTTTTCCTAAGGTCATTCTATTATTCTAGTTTCTTTCATTCTTTTTCTTTCATTCTTGACTCTACCAAAAATGCCATGATTCACATTCAGAACCTTTATCATCTTTGATTATTTCACTAATTTTCTCATCTTATTCAATTCATGCTTTTTCCATTTACATGTATGAATGGACTTACAATATGTTCAAACCATACATTAGAAACAACCTTTTCCCTAAACAGATTCTTAGTGTAAAAAGTCACCCATAGATGGCAGTACAGTTACACTTGAAACTCTGACGTGTTTTTTAGCATCTGCCTTTCACTTTTACTGATGGGAAATTTATGGGAGAAAATTGTTGCAATTTGTGAAATGGAAGCCTGCAATGAATATTTGTGAGCATACTTTCAGCAATGTGCTATCATTGAATTTTGGAACACCAAGAGTCCTTCCAATTGAAATTCAGCATCAAAGGAATGTATTAATGGTGATGACTGTGTGTCACTGGGCCAAAACGTATAAAGATGGTGAAGCAGAAAAAAATCACACCTGTTTTTGTGATCAAGAATGAAGTGGATGACTTGTGATAACAAATGACAAGTTTCACATACAGCAAGTAAAGTTAATGAGCTGATTAAGGACAGACAGCAGATCATTCAAAAGAAAATTGTTCACAAGTTTGGCCTTTCATTGAAATATGTGGGTCACATTTATGCTCTTCAGTATGGAAAAATCTGTACAAGATGGGTTCCTTTGCATACTAATAGCAGAGATGAATTAAAATTTGCTAGAATTGTTGTCACACTATGAGAATATAGGTGAAGAATTTCTTCACAGTATTATGACAGCAGATGAAATATCGGCTTATCTTTATGACACAGATATGAAGCATTCATCCATGAAATACTATCATAATTTCCCTTTTTTTCAAAAGGAAAACTTACAACTACATTTTTAGGGTAGACATGGTGCTATTCCTATGAATTTCTTTGAATCTAGAACTTACCAGCACTTCATAGAGCTACACTACAATGCTCAAAGCTATGAGAAAAAGAATAAAAAGAAAATTTATTGCAATATAACAAGAAACAGTTGTGAAGTTGGGTCTCATCTACCTCATCTTCCATATAGTCCAGATTTGACACCATGCAATTTTCATCTTTTTCCAAAATTGAGGAATATCTTTACTAGCATCTGTTTGGCTCAATTAAAAAGTAGGAACAACTCTCAAGATCTAGCTTTCCATTCAGTCCATATATGCAAGCTAAAATCTTTGGTCTGGGAGTGAGATTACAACATATTGTTATCTATATCCCATTCTCTAGGAAGTATATGCAATGTACTGATGTACACTCAGGACACTGCAGTGTGGAAAACCAACAAAATCAAATCAATAAAGATCATGCATGTTAGCCACAGAATAATGACTGCATGAGGGGGAAAGATTAGGAAAGAGATGGTTGGGGAAGAAAGAATAAAATGAATTATCTAGGGAGAATGTTCTGTAAACATTTCATTTGTTTGCTTATGAAAAATATTTTGTATATATTAAAAAACACATTCGTCTTTGTGAACTTTCAATGTTTGCACTGAAAACTAGTTTTGGAATCTTAATCCTGTTTCACTGCTCAGAAATCAACCTTCACCTGACCTGCAGTTTTCATAGTCATGCTGGTATGTGTTATTCCTTAGCCTTTACTATTCTTCATATTCTTTCTGCATTATTTCTCCTGTTTTTATTGGTATTAATAAGTCTATCATTTATTCTTATCTTCCTCTGATCCTCCAGTACAAACAGAAGTAATTAATTGTGGTTCTTCTTCCTGTTTTTCTCTAAAACAAGAAGAAAATCTGCTGATGTCAACACCATCTCAGCCTGCTGCAATACAATTGATTTCCTGGGCCAATAGCTGCACTGAAGGGTATGCAGTATGGTAGACAGCTTTGGGAAATAAGCTTAATGGAAAAGTTGCAAATATTGGCAAGAAGCAGATAGTAAGCATATTAAGCCTAGCCTAAGAAATATCCTTGAACCACAATTAAGTATTCTGCTTCCCCACTATTTTTATATATATAACAAAACCCGTAGCTTGCTTCAAATAATACTTTGCTTTAAGACAGAAATAAGCATGCCCTCCATTAATTTTTCCATTTGAAATGCACATTGAAAACTATGCATTCTTCCTGGATTTGCAAGACAATTAGATTCTTCAGTAGAGCAATATGGTACACACAGAACACAGTCTTCTCCATCAATAGACTGCAAACAAATGATTATCCTCTCAAATGACTCATTTTTATGCAAAGAATTATCTTCCACTGAAGGTTCCATATGGCAGAAAGCAAAGACTAAAAGAATGAGGAATAAAAGTTTGTGGGCCAAAATAAGTTGTTATTTAAGTTTTTCACAGTACAATAATCTTTATATTTACTATCTGGTACTAAAGATCTGCTTTTTCAATTGGGCTCAGTGTAGTACTACCCCACTTCCTGGTTTTCAGAAAGAATTAGGAATGATAAAGGAAATTGTTGATTGTTTTGTTTTCAAACGCTAATAGCCGAGAGGAAAAGGAGATTGAATAGGGACAGCAGAGCTGCACAGTGTTTTTCTTATTAAAATTCCATCAGTACCAGTGAAGCAGATATTTGTCCTGCGGGGCAAAACATGGTTGTAATGTGTAAGTAGCAGTGGGAAGTTCAGTTCCTCTTTTACAGAACCATGAAGGATTGCATGAAAGCTGTCCCAAGTCATTATATCTCTTTGCTACACATGGAAAGCTAATGTGCTAAGAGAAGTTCTAACTAAGCATTTCCTCTGACATGCTGCTCTCTGACTGCAAGATGATGAATCATTGTTTAACAAAGTTGTGCTGAATTAATTCTGAATTTTAGGAGGGCTTTAATGACATCATGCATAGGGGGCCTCTTCTAACTTTCTGCTACAGAATTCTCCTTTGAATGAGTAGCACGTATTCCAATACATGTTTATTCCTCAGAAATACATTCTACTGATCTAAACGAACTTGTGGCAAAGTAAATGAATGTAGGAATTCAATCTGTATCTGTTATCTTCTGAAGATAAGGAAGCATATATCCTTTGAGTGAACTAGATATAGTTCAAGACCAAGAACATTTTGAGTCTGATTGAATTGGTGTAGTTAAGTCATCAAAACTTGTGGTATCTTCCTCCCTTCATTTCAGTGGTTCTGTTTCCAAATCTGCAGGTTCATAAAGAAATATTTAATTGGGAACCAACACCACAAACCAGAAAACATTTACGTTCACAAGATGTACTGATCTGGGCTTCTGCCAGTTCATAATTTAAGTTCGATTTTTTTTTCAAGACTAGAAAATGAGAAAACTAGAAATGAGTTTTTCCTAAAATTTATGACATTTTAAGTTGCAATCAATTATTCTATATTCTAATGCTGGCAATGCAGCATTTCAGTGTGTTAATCATTTGTGGCTCTTTATTCGGTATTTTGTTTCTACTTCTGCCAATGTTTAGATTTGGGGATGTGGACTCATAATTTTGTTTATGAAATGCTTTAAGTGCATGTCTGTTGGAGAAGAAAGAAATAAGATATTTTATTCAATTCACACACTAAATTAAGAATACTTCTGAAGATACTGTCGTATTGCATTAATAACCAAGGGTAGTTAAATTTCATTTTGCTCATAGTCTCAGTGTAAAGAAAAGAAGATGGCATCTTTTTTCATAGATGGAACAATGTACATTATTAAGCATAGTTTCTGTGTCTTTCACTTCTCAATATGGCTCAGCTTCCCTTGTGGCATATTCATTTGAGCTTCTCCATTGCTGTTTTGATTGCATATAAAATGAAATTGCATATTTTTTCCAGGTATCTAATGTTATATATAGGTCTTCTAATCAGTAATATAACTTCCACCTTAAGAAAATAAGGTATATGTCATGAGCATAGCCAAAATTAAGCAGCATTTATAGCTTTATTTGGAGACTATTTGAGTACATGATGAATTATTTTTTAATAATCAGTGGGAAAGGTAAATGTTAAATGATAGCTGGACTATACTCTCTCTTTACATTGCTGTGTAATCTATCATGTGTTCTTATTGTTTGCAATTAAAAAATAATAATTGGAATTATTTTAAAATAAAGTAAACCTATTTCTGGCAAGGAATCAGTTTGTAAAACCTATTTTACAGAGAGGCATTTTTTCCTCTATGATTTAGTATGTTTAGTCATAACTTAAAATATTCTTTATCATCAAACTTCAAAATAGAAATCAATATGTGATACTGACGTTGCTTTCCTTTATTTTAAGTAGTAAAATATTATTACTAGTTTAATCATAGTTTCTAGATGGGGAAAATTCTTTTAGGATGAAGTACTTTATGTGTTAATTTGCAGACTGAATTCCCTATAGGAACTTGAACTCTTTGCTCTTTTATTTATTGTTGCAGTAAAATTTCACATCTATATCACTGTATCTACCTGACTGAAGCCTTTCCTTTGTGAAACCCACTGACCATTTCAATTCATTTTAGGGAATTCATGACTTTTGTTTTAAAAAAAAAAAACCATTGGGAGGGGACTTTAAACAACCAATTAAACATGATCACTTATCACACTGTTTAAAGTCGACTGTTTTCTCAAAACAGAATCTTAATGGTATTTTTTTGTTGTTCTGTTTTTTGTTCTTTTTTTGTTAGCAACCCAACTACTGGAGCTTTAAGGTCAGTACTTCCAATTTTTCCCCTCCATGCTTTTATTTTAAACAAATGCATGCGCTTACCCATCTTTTCTCTGGTATGTCCATGAGGGAACGGGCAAATTGAAAACTCGGCTTCCTTAGCCCTCTTTCTTGCGCCAGATTTCTTATTTTTAATAGGCAGCTCTTAATTCCCCAAACATGTTTGGCTGGCCCTATCATTGGGCAGAGCTAGCTGGCTGCTTCAGGCAGTTAATTTTAGGTGAAAGGCAGCAAACTGTGGTGTGTGTGTGTGTGTGTGTGTGTGTGTGTGTGTGTGTGTGTGTGTAGATGTTTACATGCATACATGTACATAAACACAAACATGCATGCACGAATGAATACATATAAAGGCACACATTCATACACATACATACACACCTACTCTGCCAGGAAATGGTATAAGTAAAATGTTCTGCTCCAGATCAATAAACTTGATCCACCTTGGCTGTTAATATGTACCTTGACATTTGTTGCATTACTTACATTTGCTGTCAACTTTATAACCATTAAGTGATCTTGGAACCTGTTTCACCATCTGCAAGTGCAGAACTGAAGCTGAGGGAGCTAAGAGAATTAGATACTACAAATAGATGTACAACATTCCCAACTGTTTACAAATGATTACAGCCCTGGAAGACAGCCATGCAGAGTAATTGGATAGCAGGGTAGACAGAAGAGAGCAAGAAGTTATTATATACCAATTCAGTTTATTCAAGCAGGTATGGGAAAGGTTCAGCCTTCCAGATGTTATTGAACTCCAACTCTGTCTGTCCTAACTAACCTGACTAATGATGAGGGATAACAGAAGTTTCAGTCCAGTAATATTAGTTCAGTTACACTTGACTGATCCCTGATTTGTATTTGTTTATTTCATCCAGCAAGGACTCTGTAAATATTGCACGCAAAGGATTGTGAATTCATTTGCTACCCAATTCTTCTAAAAGCACACAATCTTATCAAAGGATCATTGCTGGAAGAGTCAGTAGAATAATGAAACCATGAAGAAAGAGAATAAATGGGAACAGATTTATTGCATTTATGGAAAAGAAACACAGAGTGGTGCATGATCCAAATGACTGCCCTCATTTAAAATACATAGGTGCAACTATAGTACCTAATTTGTTGATAAATGCCTATGGATCATTTTCTGGTTTCAAATTAGTGAATAATGGATTTGACAGTTTTGGTTTAAATATTAAATGTTAACAGTTCCCAACAGTAGTCGGTGGATAACTCGCAATCTACAAGAGTATTGCAGCTGATCCACTCAATATTTCACAAAAATGAGAGTTCAACTGAGAATACCAGCATCTCAAAAGATTTGGTGTATGAGATTTCTATCATTTTAAAGAAGAAAAAGTAAAATTAATTTCCATTAAATTTTAGATTCTTGCAGATATATTATATATTGCATGTATTCATATGAGATGGATACCAAGGGCACATAAGGCTCACCCTTAACATTTCATGGTGGTCTACAAGAGCTTTTAATAACCACTTACTGGTCTCCCAAAAGATAGAAATGCTTATTATTCTAGATGCAAAATATTATCTTCCCCCAAATTCTTTACTGAAGAGAGAGTGAATTTCATTTCAAAACAGTTTTACATGATTATTTTCTTTTACACACCAGTAGTAATCTATGATTCCTGCCCCAACTACTTTAAATATGGGTGATGATTCAAAACCCTTTTTTATTTTTTCTATTTATCAAATTTAGAAACCACCCTTTTCCCTCACAGAGGGACTTCTTGCAAGCAAACTATAATATCGGAATGCATGCAATATTTTAAAATAGAACCAAAGAAACCACCTTTTGCTAAATGCAGGATGTCAGCCTAAGCCAGTGAGACAGAACAGAAAAATGTAAGCTTCTACAAGAGTAAGAATCATTCCTCAAGTAAACCACAGTTCCCACACTCTCAGCTTTTGGTTTTTGAAAAAAGATCAAGCTTGTAACACTTCTGAAATATGAGGTATAAATATCTTATTGTCACAGGCTATTTTAAGACCTTTTCTTGGCTTTCAGTGGATGAATGAACATTCTTAGCAATGACTCACACATTGCACACATAGTTTGGAAAAGGAAATTCCTTTTTTCCTAGTTAGAAGTATTTGCTACTTCACTTTAAAAAAGCAGAAATCTAAGCTTTTGCCAATAGTATTGTTGGATACAATACATCTGTCTAAGAACTAAAGACGGGAACAGGACTAGGAATTTGTCAGATTATAAATTCATGCCTTGAATTGAAAATAGAGGATTTTTTTTAACTTTAGAAAAATATCCTGCCCAGACACATAGATGTTATTTGCCATTGCTATTTGTAAAAAAAAATAAGCAAGAATTGAGAGACTGTGCCTCAGGTCACACAAAATGCTAGAGTAGATTAAAACTGAGTTGTATCATTTCTGATCCATTGTATTGCAAAAACCCAGATACTGGCTTAGTGTGTATAAATTATGGCATCATGTTAAGCCTTAACAGTATTCATATGTTTGGACATGGCATATTATGGGCACATAGATGTGGTGCTTTGTTAATTCAGATTTGAGAGATTGATTTTTATGTGAACTAAACCTACAATTCATAACAATTCTGAATGATGTTATTCTCATTTTGGGGTAGAGTAAATAGATAGTGGATTTATATGTTGGGATTTTATTTTGCAGAAATACCAAGATGATGGGCAGATTTAAAATGCTGTAGATTGTAATGGCCATGCAACTCATTAAGGAATGGAGGGGCAATCTGGTCTTTGTATGCACCCAAATTTCTAAATTAAATAAAATTCTAAATTTTCCTTTATCTTACTTTCTGCATGAGATCTGTCTCACTCTCATTAGCAAAGATCATGACATGTTGAAATTAGTCTTTTTTTCTCCTTTTCCCATTTTTCTCCATACTATGGCAGCCTCTTATAGAAGATACCCAAATCTCTTGCATATTACGTGCAACCTAACAATGCACAAAATCTGTAAACAGTTTGAAGAAAATCACATATTTATTAAATCTATCTCCTTTCTTTCTCCCCACAAATGGCACTCAAGAGAATGATCAATAATAAAAAATAAAGATAACAGAATAATAATCAAAGCAAAACATGGCAATTAAAATAAATAAAAGTAGATTAAAAAGTAAAGTAGTAAAAGTAAAGTAATGAGAAATGGGTAAAAGAGAAGAGAGGACAGGAGAAGGTATTGCAGTGGTAATGGCTGTGGAGAAATATGGTGGGGCAGGCTGCTCTCGGGCAAGGCAGCATCAGTGCTTAAGACTGACTGATACCATCATTCTGGCCTCCTCTGCTCAGTTCCATGAACAGGTTTTCAGAGTTTTAGTTTCTCTGAGGTCTGCTGTTGAATACCAGATTAGTATGGAATAAAATTTCTGTCATCCACAACTTCATCATGGATGAGAATACTGACATGGCCTTTATCACTGAAACTTGATTGGGCACGGAGGGCGCACTCTGAAATCTGCCTCAAATTTCAGGTGTAGCACTGACTGTGACTCCTGGGCAAGGTGGCTGTTGTCTTTTGTGAGCCTCCAGTAGTCACTAGAGGCCCTGACATGGACATCACCAGGCTGGGCTGTTGGGGATTGCTTCCTCCTCGTAGTGCAGCAGCATCCCTCCTCATGCTACTGGACTCTTGTCTACATTGGCAATGGAGTTTTCCAGGCTCATGGTCTGGGGGCCTGAGGTGTAAGGTATTTCATGTTTGTCATGGCAGTCATGGATCTGGCCCTACTCTCAAAGGGGGTCACACTGTAGATCTGCCGTTAGTCTCCATGCAGTAGTATGGTGATCTGGATTTGGGGGACATTATCATCAGTCCATTTGCATGGACGGACCACTCTGTCTTGGCCTTGGAGTTCTCCAAAGTTACCACACACCGCTGGGTGGTGGAGCCTATTTGATTGTCCTGCCCCAACAGTGGACCAGTGTGGTTTCAGAAGGAGCTTGGAATTTTTCCTGAAACTTTGTTACATGGTTCAGCAGAGGCTTGTGTCACAGTTTGGAATGAACAGGTAATGGGGACCATGGACTGAATCGCTAATGTGTGGATACTCTGTATGTGGCGCTTATACTATAGAGCTCTATTGTTTACCAAGAGACTAAAAAATGAAGCAACATAAGAGATGCTTAGACCACACTTGAGGAAAAGAGCAAGGCTGATCAAACAAAGGTTAGAGACTATATTAGGACTTAGTTGTGGTAACAAGAGCAGTGTAATTATTTCTCAATGCATAATGTAGGCAGCCAGCTGGTATCTCTGTTTTGGGTTCATCCTGGGTAAGGAGGAGCCTAGACAGTCTTTGCAGGATCACTATGAGGAATACTCTTTGCTCGAGTTCACTCAGAGTTGGACTATGGCTAGGCAGATCCTTTGGAGTTGATGGAGACAAGCCTGAGTCTTTTTATCTAAGAGGATTTCAAATCATTTGGTCTTGAGGACAGGTCCTTGAGGCTATGAATTTGCTACCTATGTTTCAGACTCATGTCCCTCCTGGCTAATTAAGACCTCCCAGGAGGAACCATGTGGTTGGGTTCAAGCAGATAATCTATTTACAGGAGAGGATGATTTTGTCTATAGATGTGAAACAATAAAAAACTCAACTTGGAAAGAATATTATATGTTATTCGTGATTTGGGGTCTGATATAAATCTTGCCAGACTGAAGACTATCTGCATCTACAATAATGTCTGTGAACTATTAGGGAGGGGCTGTCTTCATCCTGTTCCTTTCATATCTAACATCTGGACTGAGTTGCCTCTTATTCCTCTGGAATGGACCCTACCCATCTGGAGGTCCATCTCCTCACTATATTCCATCACAGTTACTACCTTAAAGCCCTATGTGGCATAGAGCTATGTTATCTGCAGGACTGCCTCTCCTTAAGGACATCTACACATCCTATCAGATCAGTGGGCATGCTCCTGATCTTTTCCCTTAAATGTGGGATCTAGGAAAGATTCCTTTTCT